CTTTAAAGTTAGAGACGGGAACATTGACTCTGTATTTGCCGGGACTGTGCGGGTCGTATTGGATCTGAGTTTTTAGAGCCTCTGGTCTCCAAAGACTACACCAAACCTGTCATAAGAATATAGAAATATTTTATAATTTATTTGTAATATATTTCTCAATCTAATGGACAGACATTTGCGTGCGAAAGGAAGTACAGCTGCTCCGGAGTGTATTGACTGACGTGTGGAAGGCGTTGCGGTTCGCCATGTCTTTCGACATACAACTGAAACGCGCGGTAAGACTCTCTCATCCCTCCATTGTCTGCGATATTCTCTCCGACGGTATTCTTGCCGTTCAACTGATATCAAGTAAATTGTGTTAAATATAGTAAACATGTCTTAATTATGATCACAATTCATGTCAACTCACATTCATTTGCACTTCTGGCACATAAACACTCGCGTATTCATCGATAAAACATTGAGCCTTATCTCCAAAACGTTTTCGGATGTCTTCAGTCCACCAATTAATGAGATCACCCTTCGGGTCAAATTGACTGCCTTTTTATGTCAAATAAAAAATAGTCACAAAATTATATTCAATAAATCTCTGGTTCAATACCTTCGTCATCAAATCCATGGGTCATTTCATGCCCCACAACCTGTTGTCAAAGTAATCTCTGATTAGAAACAATAGACATGACTACCACTACGACATACCAGTCCAATGGCACCATAGTTCAGATAAGCAGGTCTTTCACTATCAAAGTACGGAATTCTGAGAATTCCCGCCGGAATTGCTGAACAAATAGGAAAATACATATAAATTGTCAAAAATATAATTTAAATGAACATGAACATTCAAATCACTCACTGATAGAGTTCTGTGTGGGCTCGTAGGCAGCGTTCACTACAGCGGGAGGCATAGGCCAACTGTAACGACATTATCTAATCATTAAAATCATTTGATCCATCAATTACTGTATAATCACCTTGTTGTTAGGTCAACTGGTTCTCTGATTAATTTAAATAGTCTTAAACCGAGTATATTTTGTAAATATAATAAGTCTTCAAATGATTTGCTTGGATCCACTTTTTGTTTCTAAAGTAATATTTATAAAATAATTTAATCATTTTAATTATAAATATATTGCATTTAATCGTTATACCAGATTATAATAATTATCCAGTTCATCATTGTTTAGAATCCAATCGGGATATCCTATGTTTTGTTTAATGGCATTCAATTTAATGAGTGATTTATTTTTGGTGCTTTCGTCCAACCAATCGCTCTCTTGAATCAATTCATTATACGATTCTTTGATGTCATTAATCATAAGCGCCGCCTAATTTCAAACATATTATTAATTATTAACCAAATAATATGCAAACAAACCGTTTGCTTATCCTTTTGCGAGAAATTCTTGTCCACATATAGCCGACTGACAGCGTATTGAAGGCTAACCGACATAATATTAGTACACGTTTGCCACAACTCGGTCTCCTTTTCCACTCCCGACACCACGTGATCGAAATTAAACACAATATCCCGAAACTCTTTAGTGGTAAATGAACCCAAATTCATGACTGTCATCCAACCCAAGTAGTTGCCGATCACTCGGCCCGGAGTCCCCTCAAGAAGTTGTGTCACACCCTTATAGTAGTCTAAGTCCATGACGACAACCAATTCACTTATATTCATATTAATCGTTGAATTCAATTCTCTGTATATTCTGTTCGTTATGTTCAGCCAATCGACTCTATTTTCAGTCAATTCATTAAAGGCTTCAAATGTCATCCTATTATACCAAACACTGGAATCTCTTTTCTTTTCCGGAGGCAATGATAACTAAAATTATAAAATATTATCATTTTAGATAAATCGGGTATGCACTTTATTTTATGTGTAAATTGTACCTCGGCTAACTTGGACTCAAAATTCAGCAAATCCTCGATATCCTGATGAGTTTGGCTGTCATTTTGAGCGCCTAATAGTAGTGCCGATTCGAGTATATATTGCTTATAAGCGTTCACTATATCGGGATAACCACTGGTATTCACCAATTGGTT